ACGAGGAAAAACACATCTGTTGGAGTTGTCATGTGGGGCTCGTGCGTTCTATGTAATTACAGCCGCACACAGAGCGTGATAGTCCAGTCCAGCGGCGAAGCCGAACTATATGCTATAGCCTCCGGCGCCGCAGAGGCATTGCATGCACAATCGTTGATCAAAGAGCTCGGGTATGCAACTTCGGCCACTGTGAAATCAGACAGCAGCGCAGGCAGGGCCATAGCATCGAGACTCGGCGTAGGAAGATTGAAGCATGTCGATATTAAGTTCTTACATGTGCAGCAGCTCGTGCAAGCCAAGCGCATACATATTTTCAAAGGTAACAGCAGCAGATAACATTTCAGACGTTGGAACAAAATACCTTGACAAAGCGAGGCCTTCTACGCTAAAACGACGGTTGGGCATCTATGCATAATGCTCCTCCGTAGACGTGCTGGCTCAAGCATTCACCTTTTGTGTGTTTCTGAGACAGTATGTTGTCACCAAGTGTGAAATGGTGTTTTAAGAAATGTCCTGATTGCACGGAATACTATGCGAAAGTACCGGCTGACAGTGCAACCAGCAAGGGAAAAGTCGAAGGTACTCTTTCTTACCGCATGGTGCAGCGCCTGAGCACCGCGCGCGGTCCACACGGTTACGGTGCAGAGCAATCAACAAATATTGTTAATTCCTGCCTGGTGCGTTACTGTGGTAGTGGACCAGAGTATCTTGAGTACAATCAGACAGAGGCTTGGCGAGAGCGTTCACCAACGCCCCAAAGGCCTCCGACGCCACCTCCGGAGAGCAGCCGCGTGGCAGACAGCAAAAGCAGGCCAGACTCAGCAACCGGCGATGTCCGGGACCGTACCCGGTCGCGCTCCAGGCGCCGATCTCCAAGCAAGAACACTGAGTCGAGGCAGAGGTCCCCCAGCGATCTCAGAAGCGAGGACACAGTGGTGAACGACATCTTGATCGACGTCGGTTACCTTCAGAACATTTCCTCAACCACGCGTGTGTTGAAATCCGTAGCATCAAGGATCAAACAATTATCCCGATCGTAATCTATGGCATCATATAACGACACGGTGAGGTACATAATTCAACGTACTGTTTTTGATACCAGCTCTGCCTCCAAATATATCTGATGAGAATCAGATCTGAAGGGGCTGTAATAATCCCTTGTGAGAATCCCTTGTCCGCACCGCGACCGGCTTGAGCCTCGAGCCCAGGATAACATACTCCATATCGAAATCATCCGCTTATCTTTTCACCTCCTCCTCCTCCTCTTCCTCCCCCTCCTCCCCCTCCCCCTCCTCCTCCTCCTCCTCTTCCTCCTCCTCCTCCTCCTCCTCCTCCTCTTCTCTCTCCTCCTCCTCCTCCTCCTCCTCTCTCCTCTCCTCCTCCTCCCTCCTCCTCCTCCCCCTCCCCCTCCCCCTCCTCCTCCTCCTCCTCCTCTCCTCCTCAACCTCCCTTTTCGGCCTCCAGGGCGCAGGGCTGCGGGAGCACCTCTGCCCGCAGCCAGGAGCGACGACAGAGGAAGGGCAGGCTGGAGGGAGAAAGGACTGCATGGCAGGTGAGGATGATTGGCGGCGCTCACAAGGGAGTGGAGGGAGAGGGGAAGGCTTCTTAGAAAGAGGATGCTTCTTAGAAGGCGCCTGCCTTACATCTATAGGTAAGGCCCGCTTCTAACAAAACCCTTCCCCTCCACCCACCCCCCTCTGCGCGTGGCTGAAGAAAGGAGGGCAGGGCAGATGAGGACGAAGGGGGTCGGAGGAAGGGGGGAACCTTTTGGAACCTGGCGGCGGGGCGGGGCCACACCCAACGACGCGCTGCCACCCCGAGATTGAGAGTTGAGGAGGGCATCGTTTTGCTGCCCCAAACTTCCACCCTCCTCGAGCTCTCGTCCCTCCTCGCTCCCTCCTCCCCCTCCCTCTCATCCTCCTCCCCTCCTCCTCCCTCCGCCTCCTTCCTCCTTCCTCCGTCTCCTCCTCCTCCCCTCCTCCTCCTCCCTCCTCCCTCCCCTCCTCCCCCATCCTCCTCCTCCTCCCCTCCTCCTCCCTCCTCCTCCTCCTCCTCCTCCTCCTCCTCCTCCTCCTCCTCCGCGTGGTCATCAACACCAGGCCCTGTCTTGGAGCGCACTCTGCTCCGAGACCTCCTGGGGAGAGTCCAGCCCCGTGGCCTCCTCCTCCTCGCGCCTTTTCCCCCCCTCTCGACGGCGCGCCGAGGCGGCACACCGGGGGGGGGGCGGCCGCCTCCGAGGAGCCCTTCCCGAGAAGCCTCGGGGCCCGCCCGACAGGGCCCCTGCCCTCTGAGAATAGGGGGAAAACAAACCTACCTCGCTTTTGACCACCCTCGCTTCCAAGAGATACCAAACGATGCCAAATTGCAGCCTGTACTGGTCAGGCCGCTTGACGAGGAGGCGCGTGGTATGGCTTGGTTTTGCCTGGAAGCGAAAGCGGGCTAGGTAATTCACGCTCTGAGAGAAGGCCCCCCCCGGGCACCTGGCCTTCTCGGCGAGCGACCCCTCCCTCGAGGGGGGCGAGAAGGGCAGGATAGCAACGACCAGGGTAGGGAATCGGCGGACGCCGCCGGCTCTCCTGACGCCTCCTGGCGCCAGGATGCCTCCTGGCGCCAGGACCCCACGCCTGGCCCTCTCGGCGAGCGATCCCTCCCTCGAGGGGGGGCGAGAAGGGCAGGATAGCAAGGGGCAGGGCAAGGAGTCGGCTCGCGCTCTCCTGGCGCCTCCTGGCGCCGCCGGGAGGCGCCCCGTGGGTCGACGAGTGGGCCCAGCGGCGCGGCCGACACCGGCTGCACGCAACAGACTTCGTAGCCCCCTCTTTCCCTATCCCCCCCTTTCGTCTGGCCGAGGCTCTCGCGCCCCCCGCCCCCTGGTGCGCGCCGCCACCCCGCCTCAGTCATGCTTCCTGGAGCCCCCCGAGATCCCTTGAGATTCTTTAAAAGGGCCCCAGGAGACTTTCGACGCGCTCTCGAACCCCCGTCCGAGGCCTTGGTGGTCGCACCCAGACGTGTCGGCAGGGCGGGCTGGGCGTTTCGCTTGGGACTTCCTCGCCGTCTACGAGTCTGAAGGTTGAAACTGTTTCGTGGATGGAGCGCAGGCCGTGTCCAAAAGAGGGCTCCCGCCCTATCCGCGCGCACATTCGTTGTACCAGTTTGCACCAGCCACACGGATGGAGCACAGGCCGCTTTCAACATGGGGCCCTCGCTGTAGCGCCGCTCGCACTCGTCCCAACAGCTCGCAGCAGTCACACGGATGACGGGGGGTGATGCTCAGCATTGAACTCTCGCCTCAACGCCGCGCTCACACTCGTAGTCCGCCGACCCCGCTTGCCCCGGGTGGAACGGCGCGTGAGACTTTTGGCTGGGCCCCTCTTTCCCCAGACATGATCGCCTCGTAAAAAAATCAGGACGGGAAGTTTTTCGCTGTTTTCGGCCCCGGGGGGCCCTCGCCGGGTCTCGGGACCGTCAAAAACGACTCAGGAAAACCGGTCCCGGGGATAGGGTCGGGACTTCCAGGGACGCCGTCCTGAAAAAATCAGGACGTCGCATGTCTGGGTCCCCCCTCTGGGAGCCCAAAAACCTAGTAAGGCAGGGCCAGAACTCGCCAACGCACCCCGGAGGCCCCGGGAGGGTCCGAATCTACACTCCGTGGCCCCCAGCACGCTGAGGCGTCCTGGCAAGCGGCTAAGACGGCCTCAAGACAGCCCACGAAGGCTCCAAGACGCCCTAAGAAGGCTCAAGAGGACCCCCAAGAGAGCCCCAAGATACAGACATCGTCCCAAAACTTGTTGTTGAAGAAACCTCGAATTCCAGCATGTTCGCATATTCCGTCTAAACAGCGTCCAAGGCGGCTCCAGAGGGCCCCAACATCGTTCCAAGACGGCCCCGGAAACCTTCAAGGGGTCCCCGAGCCGTTCTGAGAGGGTTCCAAGACGACCCAAGAGGCGCTCGAGGCAGAGCCCAAGGGTCCCAGCAGAGCCCCAAGCGGGGCCCAGGAAAGGCAACTCGAACTGTCGCGTCGAACCCTCCGCCCCCAGAGGGCCCTCGCGACCGCCTGCCGTCGCCCCAAACAGCCCGGAGGCCCAATAGGCCTCCACGAGGCTCCAAAAACGCCTGTAAGAGCCAATGCAGCCAGGCCCGCCCAAGCGGTCCTAGTGGCTTCCACGATCATGCAATAATCTCGTTCTCTTCTGGGGGTCGGAGGAACAGCGCAGGTCTCTGGAATAAAACCTTGCACGTACTCCAAGGGTGGAGGGCGGCTCCTGTTCAAAATGGGGCTCTCGCGTGGGCGCCGCGCACATTCGTCTGGAAAGGTGGACGACGGCTACTTTTCAAAACGGACTATCGTCTGATATTTGCTCCATTTTCGGCAAAAGAAACTTGGACATACGAAAAAGCTCCACAGCTGGATGTCGGCTCCTGTCCAACATGGGGCTCTCGCTTGAGACCTCCTCGAAGTTAGTGACCACAACCAACATACCTGTGCAACACTTGCACACATGTTGGGGGGGAGGCTGAACATCTCGTCGCACTACATGATGATACCTTTTCGCCTTCCTGGTTACGCCGCTAGAAGTATGCAAGGCAATTTCTTTTCAAAACGGGCCTCTCGCCTGAATTGACAAGCCAATCGGGTGCTGTTTTTTCAAGCGGGCGCTTCTTATATTGGAAAAAAGAAGCTTGGGACTTGGAATGGGATGGTGTGTCGCCGCATCGTTGATGCATCTTTGGTTCACTCTGGATCCTCCGCCTCCCGCTCCTCGTCCCCGTCCCCCCCCATCCCCTTCCTCCTCCTCCTCCTCCTCCTCCTCCTCCTTCCTCCTCTTCCCTCCCCCTCCGCGCGCGCGGGGGGATGGGGAGAAAGCCGGATAAGGAGGAAGAAGAGGAGGAGGAGGAGGAGGCGGAGGAGGAGGAGAAGGACCAGCACGACCAAGACGATCAACAAAATCAGGACAACGACGACAACGACGACGACAACGCAAATTTGTGATGCCCGGTCTGGCCTCCTGGGGCTTGGTCCTCTCTGCCGCGCCCTTGCTGGCCGCCGTTGGCGCCTCGGCTTGATCCCCGCCGTCGCCCTCGCCACCGCCGCTGTCGAGGCATTCGCCGCATTCGTCGTCGACGCTGCCGTCGTCGTCGTCCTCGCCGCCGCCGCCGTCGTTACCGCCGCCGGCGTCGCCGCCGTTATCGCAGGCGTCGGCGTCACCGTCGTCGTCGCGGCCATCGTCGTGGCCGTCGTCGTCGCCGCCGCCGTCGTCCTCACCGTCGCCGTCGACGCCGCCGCCACCACCGGCGTACCATCGTCGTCGTCGTCGTCGTCGTCGTCGTCGTCGTGGCCGTCATCGGCGACGCCACCACCGCCGTGGCTGTCGTCGACGCCGCCGCAGTCGTCGTCGTCGCCACCGTCGTCGTCGCCACCGCCGTCGCTACCTCCATCGCCGCCGCAGCCGTCGGCGTAGCCGTGGTCGTCGCCGTCGTCCTTGCCGTCGTCGCCGCCCTGTCGTCATCATCGTCGCGGTCGTCGTCGTCGTCGTCGTCTCGTCGTCGCTGCCGCCATCGACGTGGCCGTCGTTGTCGTCGCCGTGCTCACCGTCGTCGTCAATCCCTTTGTACTTTACTTTTTATCCTCCACGTCCTCTCTCCTCCTCCCCCTCCTTTCCGTCGCCGTTCTCCTCCTCACCTCGCCAGACTGCGCAATGCCATCTTCTTGTCCCCCTCCTGCTTGTGATCCCAGGACCTGCCGGCTGCAAGAAATGCTTGTCCTTGTGTCAAAGCTCTGCGAGCGGTGGAGATCGGTAGACCAAATGAAATTCATGACACCAATTTGGGCACACGAATGGCGAGCTATACGTGGAAACCTATGCGCGCGGAGCCCAGTGTGTCAGTGTGTGCTACTGGTCACCATGCGAGCTTCACATGACAACCCGTGGCGCTCGTATGAAAAAACATCGCAACTCGTGCGTTCCGCTTATGACCAGCTGTGCTTTTACGTGATGTTCATGGGTGCCTACATGAACACACTAGGCTTGCAGCTTGAGGCGCTCAAGCGTACAAATGGGCACATCGAACCGCCAACTCGGAAACACAAGACCGCACACTTGAGATCAACAGAAAAAACACGTGGCCTCCCCACTGCAAGTACGTCTGGGACCGCACGCAGAACGCAGTGCCTCGAATAGAAGCGCGGCCGAGCTTGCCTCTCCACCGTGTGGCCTCACGCACAGCCGCGGGATCCCTCCCCGGGCAGAGCCTGCGCGCCGAGCTTCTCGCTCGCCCTCGGAAGCCACTGGGCGGGCGTGCCGACGCGGCCGTGGGCGCGCCGTGGGCTCGGGGCCTTGCCCGGAGGGCGGCCGTGAGCGCCTCGCGGGCGCCTCGGTGCGCTGGCTGGGTGTGGCCGAGGTGTCGCCGCGGTGGGCGGCCGTGGGCCTCCGTGGGCGCGCCCGAGGGGCGCCGCGGGCGCCTGCGCGGTGCAGCCTGTGCGGAACGGCTCGCGCCACTTCGCCGGCACCCTCCTGGCTTACAGTCGGCCCGTATCAGAAGGGTGTGCGGCAAGGATGCGTGGGCCCTGGGCGCCCATGTCGAGGCTTTTCGAGCGGGGCGCGGCCAACGAAAGTGGTCAAGGATGGACCGAGGAGGCGAGGATGCAAGGGTAGTGTTGGGCAGGCTGCGCATCCTTACGATGCGGGTTGACTGCGCGCTGCAAAGCTTGCTGGCGCGACGCTGTTTGCGCTACAGAGAGTGTATCACATGACTTGCAGAGCGCACAGTGTGCACCACGCAACGTGCTCTACGTGGCTTACACACAGAGTACAAACACTCACTGCCTAGGGCCAACGCTTGCAACCATGAAGCATGCGGCTCCCATTCGTGATTTGAAAACGTATGGCACCATGTGGAAGCATGTGGCTGTCTACTGTGCAAATATACGGTCTTAACCTTCACGAGGGAGCCTCAGAAAGCCTCTCGGAAGGCCGCTCGGAAAGTCCAAGGAAGCCTCTCACAAAGCCCCAGAAGGCCTCTCATGACAACAAAATGAGGCCTTCAAGGTTGTCCAGAAACGTCTTTCAAGAAGCCCAGGGGCCCCAAAGGCCTCTCGTGAGGCCCAAACGAGGCCCCTCGGCGGCCCAAAAAGGCCTCTCGAGAGGCCCATGACGCCCCCCGGGAAGCCAAAGAAGCCTCTCAACATCCTCTCTGGGGCTTGATCCGAGCTAACGGGGACGCCCTCTTCCACCGCCCACGGCCGCCAGGGAGGAGGCAGCGCGGGGAGATGCGCGCGCGCAGCGCGCGCGCGGCGTCCGAGGGCCGCGCGGGCGGCGGCGGTGGCGGCGGTGGCGGCGGAGGCGCCCCGGAGCGCGGAGACCTCGGCTCGGATGGCTTCGCCGTCGCCGCCGCCGTCATCTCATCGTCGTCGTCATCGTCGTCGTTCTTGTCACCCTCCCCTTCGTCCTCGTCATCGTCAGTTAGTTTCCTTGTCCTGCGCCTCCCCGCGCTCGAAGTCGTCGTCCTCCTCCACCTCCTCCTTGCCGCTGTCCTCCTGCTAGTCCCCCTGATCCTGGAACCTCTAGTCTGCCATCTTCTCCCACATCGCGGAACCACAATACGAGGAGAAATGCGAGAAGGAGAGGAAGGCGGAGAAGAAGAGACAGGATAAGGAGTGACAAACTGCACCCTTCAAGGCTGACTGATGTGGGCGAAGATCATGCAACAAACAATGATAAGTGGGAGAAACTGGGGCATGGCCCCCAAACCGTGCTTGCTTCATTTGCGCCGCATGGGCGCACTGAAACAATACCTCTGTCTCGACGGGCGTCCGTACTTTCTGGTGTAAGTGGGTAGTGGGTAGACCTGTCGGGATCAAGATCGGAGCAAGGGACAAGCTCAGGGGCTCCCTCTCTATCGCTCTCTCTCTCTCTGCCCCGCCACCAGCTGGCCTTACGTAAACACTGCATACTCGAAACCCGATGAGAAGGAATGTCAATACTTCCGTCACTGTTAGTGCGGTGGCCTGCTGCTGCAATTCAGTATCCGCCACCGCGCTTCCAAGTGTGTCGGGCCTTCCTGTTTCATAGTTGGCTCCTTGCGAAGCAATAGTTCAGCCCCGCCGGCGCATGGAACCCAACACCCATTGTTGGACGTACATCCCTGGGCTTCTGGCCTTCCCAACAAAAGGTGGGCCCAAATACTTAGTAAACGGACGCACCGGTCCATGGACCCTACCCTTAAGTCAGGCATGTCCCCCTACAGGCGGATTCTGAACGAAACATCAAAACTACTCCAAAAATGTTCAAAACATGGCCCAAAACACTAAACAAAATCGTCCCTGGACTAATTTTTGGGCCATTTTGAAATATTCCTCCTGTAGAGGGACAGGCCCGACTTAACCCTACCCTCTCCCGGGCGCCTACCTGCCCTCTCTCCTGGCCCCATTTTCCCATGGCGGCGCCTCTTGCCCCCCCAGTCGGACAAGGTGGTCTCCACCATCGCCCCACGTTTCCTCTACACCTCACGCAGGGGGCTCCGTGGGCGCCCAGAAAGGCAACGGGGCTCCTACGATAGACATCAAATAACCCATCGCCATAATAACCACCCCGACACGCGAAGTCGTTTAGTAAACGTGCCCAAGGAAGGAATCGAACAGGGCAAGGCTGCTTAGTAAACGCCCAGGGCCGTTTAGTAAACGCCAATTGTCTGGTCTGGGTGGTTGTTTTCCTCCCTTGATGCGAGACGCTAGAAAAGGCAAACACACACAAATGGCTTGAGCAACCATTTTATGGTCTCGCATTGTTCGTCTTCGCAACGCACACGACGACCCAAGACGACACAAGAGGCCCCCCGCGATGCCCAAAGCGGCCGCGGCGGCGGCGGCGGCCTCGGCGGCAGCCGCGGCGTCGGCCGACGACGACGCCGACGACGACGACGACGCCGACGACGACGACGACGACGACGACGACGACGACGACGACGACGACGACGACGACGACCGCGGCCGCGGGGGTGTCCGGGGCGCCGGCCCCGACGGCGGCGCGGCCCTCGCGGCGACCTCGCCCGCGCGCTCGCTGGGGCGGGCGGGCGCCCGCGGCTCGTGCGGCCGCCGCCGCCGTCTTTGTCTCCTCCTCCTCCTCCTCCTTCTCCTCCTCCTCCTTCTCCTCCTCCTCCTCCTGAGGACTTCCTCCTCCTCCTCCTTTTCCTCCTTCTCCTCCTCCTCCTCTCATCCTAATCTTCCTCCTTCCTCCTCCTCTTAGCCTCCTCCCTCCTACTCCCCCTCCTCTCCCCTCCTCCTCTCTCCTCCTCCTCCTCCTCTTCCTCCTCCTCCTCCTCCTCCTCCTGAAGCCTTTCTCCTCCTCCTCCTCCTCCTCCTCCTCCTCCTCCTCCTCGCAGGAGGGCGCGGGAGCTCGTCGTGGGCGTGGTCGGTGTGCGGAGGGGGAGCAGGAGCAGGGACTCGAGGGCGACGGGCGAGTGGGGGGAGGGAGAGGCACGAGGGTGGACGAGGAGGAGAGGGAGGAGGCGGGGGAGCAGGGCGAGAAGAGAAGCGGGGTCGCACGTGTGCTGTGGAGGAGGAGGGAGGCAGCGAGCAAGGGGCGAGGATGGTGAGGGCAAGGGGCTGCGACGCGAGCTACACGCAGCAAAACCGCACCTTGTTGCGGGGACCAGGTGTGGCAATCATAGTTAGATTTGGCGCGTCGGTCGGTCTGTGTGGACGGACGCCGCTTCACGACCTACGATGGAAGGCGATGGTCGTGCCGACGACGTTGCGTGCCAAGCGTGGAAGCGATCACCACGTTTCACGGCGAAGCTTGGCGGCAGCCTCGAGAGAAATCATAAAACGAACAACCGTTTGACCCTCGGAAGGGGAATCCGGCACGAAGAAGAATTCGAAAGCGCGGGGGATCGGATGACGAATTTGTTGCTGGGGCACGGGCGGGGGACGGAAGCGGGCTGCGCGAGGTCGAGGCCCCCGGGCATACGGCTAGTTTCGCTGAGCCAGTGGATGCGGGATGTCGGCGGGAAGCGGCCCAAGGGACGGGGCCTCGGCGATGGGCAGCGCGGACAGCCG